AGCCCAAACTGAAGCTTTCTACATGTGATCTTTTCGAAGATAAAGAAGCATTTCTCAATAGGATTGAGCTTCATGTCGAGTTGCCGTTAAATGCAAAATGCAGTTTTTCAACGTAAATGCTTGCTTAAGAATAACAGAGATTTTAACTCCAGTGACAACCTATGGAATCAAATGATTCAGTTATTGCTTTTATTAAATGAGTTTTTATTGCTGTATCATTAGAAACAATCCAGCAATAAAACTCACTTAATAAAAGCAATAATTCAAATTTAGATTCATAGCTGTAGTATAGAAACTTGATTAGAAGGTGATTAACAGATAAATTATGATAACAGATGATTAACAGATAAATCTTTTGTAAAATAAATCTTCATAATCCTTAACATTCTCAATTAAATGATGTTTCCATTGATTCATAATTATATGGTATTACTTTAAAAACAGTAGAGATATAAAAAATGAAACCTCAAAAATAATTCCTTTTTAAAAGGTTTTCACAATTTTGGAGAATAGAGTATGATATCAAAGGTGACTCTTGTTTTAAGACAATTTTCTGAATGAAAAAGGCAACTTATTTAATAGTAACAAGAAATGTTGCAAAACAACGATGTTAATACTTTCTAGCAAAACAATGATACCTGTTTTGAAGTATCAATCAAAATGTCCCTTCACCCCCCCAAAAAAAAGTTATAACAAATTAACAGATTAAACAAATATAACAAATTAAACAGTTATAACAATTTCTAACAAATTCCAATAAATATAATAGCATGAACAGGAAATGAAATAAAATACAAATTTGGAGCAATGCTATTATTTTTAACGGATTTTTAATGATATACATGTCACATGAACATCAATAAATGCAATCCAGTTGTTCTTGTTTTTTGAAAAGATCACATTTAAAATGTAAAATTTACAAACCTTTAAATTTCACTAAAACTAAGGCAAACCACTACAGTGCCAAAACAGCACTAAGAATTCAGGATTAGAAACAGCCCTTCCGAAGTAGTATGAATAAATTTTACTAGAAGAGAAACTACTACATGTATGAAAACAAAATTTTCTCAAAGTCTGATGTCTCAAAGTCTAGTGAGAAATGTTTGAAGTGACTGGTTGAAAAATGGAAGTAGATTCTCTCTGAAAATTTCATAATGGGTTGCACTAATGTGAAAAACTAATACTTGCACTAATAAGCAAATGATTACTCTATAAGGAAGGCACATTACATATGCCATTGAAACCATCTCATCATTACACTATTAATGTAAATGTTAATAAAAGCTTAAAAATTAGATACATTATAGACAGTACTTTTAAGATTACTTGTAAATAAACTTAAAACTAGATACATTATAAATAATACTCATAAGATTACTTATTTACTACTGTTACCTTGTTCCCTTTTAGGAAGCATTTCTGTTTTAGTCATCACAGTAAATAAGTTATTTCTTAAGCTAATAAACAATGTAATAATTTTAAATATATATGGAAGATATTATGCTTAAGGAATAGCAATAGCTCTCAAAGTTGGTATGCAACTGGCTCTCAGTGTTTACCTGGATGATCAATAATGTGACAGCATAATAGAATAACAGCACTTTCTCATTAAAGAATAAGCAGTACTTTCTCATTTTCAGGGCCCCCATGATAAAGGCACCAAGATTAGAGCCAATTTTGTCTGAAATGAAATACGATGCCTCTTTTCTTGGAAGAATGATGTAGCATTTTCTGCAGTCAGAAATAAAAAACTGTTTAAAAACAGGGTCTGTAACAGCTGTTATCAACCTCAGTCTTATTTGTTCAAAGTTTGAATTATTTCTCACACTTAATCAAGGTCTATTTCTCTGCTCTGCAGTAAATAAAATATAGTGTATTACAAATAATATCCTTGAGCCACTGAGTGAGTTGTCAAAAACATATGCTTTTTTTTTTTTGGGGGGGGGTTACAGCTTTTTACATTATACCTCTAAATGGTTAAATACATAGTCTAATTTTGCAGCTATTTTCATATATTTGAACACACAGCAAAATATCTTTTTCTTGGATGAATGAAGTAGCATCTTCTTCAGTCATCCGTAAATAAAAAAAATTTAACATTTTTATAAGTTATGGTCTAATCACAGTATTAAAACACAGTCTACTCACAGCTTTCATCTTTCTCATGTAAGTAAATAAAAAGAATTAAACAAATTTTTGAAAAAAGAACATACATTAGCATGTGACCTACTTACAGCTTTTCTCGTGACAAATAAACAAATTAAGTAATCACTGTTGATGTGTGTTATCACAGTATTCCAAACACAAGAATCCTAAATAATTGTAAATACAAAAGTCGGCTTTTGTGGCTGAAATGCAACCCCACCCCCACATGAAATCTTTCATAATTTTTAATGTAGGCTTTTGATATTCAAGTTGGTAACAAATAAGATGACCGTATTTATAATTTTAGATGGAAAATTTCTTCTGTTCATTTGCCTTTTCTACTGTGAATTCCAGT